GCGCATGCACAGTGTTTCATGGAGCAAGAGGGGCCACCGGGGTGGGGGGGGGTAAAATATAGACTCATCCTGCCATTAAGGCAGAATGGAGGGGGACTCAGCTACTAAGAAGTTTTTTTTTTGGACATGTATGGAGAGGGACAGGAGCAACCATCTGTAGAGTGGAGGAGGGGTATGTAATGTGCCAGGGTTTCTGGAATCCATAGAGGATTTTTTTTTTTTTTGCACAATGGCCATTAAAGGTGAACTAACCCTTTTACTCTTCCACAGGACCAGCACATGACCAGGGGCGGACTGACAACTCATGGGGCCCCCAGGCAATAGGGGATCATGGGGCCCCATCTCCTTGCACAAACTCAAAAAAGCCTATGAAAAAGGTACCAGGGGCATCTCATGGGGCCCCCCAACTGACCCCGGGCCCTTGGGCAGTGCACGAGTTTCCAAATGGTCAGTCCGCCCTGTACATGTCCTTTAAAGTACACTAAAACCTTTACCAATGGAAAATACAAGTACAGCACCTGCCTCCTCTTCTCCTTCGCACAGCACCTATGTAAAGAGAACCTGTCCTCCACTGTCTCTCACACCTAGGAATAGATAACAAAGGATGGCAGCGATTATCCAGAAAGGACTTTTTCGCACTTGTCTGAGATTCACGCCAGTTTGTGTTGGAGACTCAACTTCCTCCACTTGGATCCAAGTCCAACCGGTCCACTGGCCTCCGTTCAATGAAATTGGCCTGCTTACCAATAGTGGCCTATTATGTGTGTGGGGGGCCCCACTTGGTTGATGGGGCATCATTCCACCAATGGCACAGCGTAGGACCTAAGTAGAAGGAAGTTCAGTCTCTACAGCAAGCTGAAAGGAGATCGATAGACAGAACACGTAAAGCTGAGCTCCAGGTATAATCTGTGTTGTGAGATTGGCCAGCTTGGCACAATGTAAGTCTGAGAGGCCACTGGAGAAGCTGACAGTCACTGTAGTAGTCTGCGCTGCTACACTGACAACCGCCATCTTCCAGGTCCTGTGTCAAGTGGCTTCTCCTCCACATGCTGACCACTGGGGCCATTTGCTGGGCACTGCCACCATTCATAAAATGCCTTTTATTGCTTTCAAGGCATTCTCTGATTGGATGAGGGGGAAATCATGACATCACTGCCCCTTCTCTCCACCTTGTCCAATCAGGTAATGCCTTGTATTCATTGAAAGAAATAAAAGGCATTTTATGAATGGTGGCAGTGCAGAGCAAATGACCGCAGAGGCCAGTTCGGTTCATACCAATACGGTGCAGGAAACGTTGCGAATCCTGTGCACTTCCCGCACCGCATTGCAATCGCATCACGTTCATGCGATCTGGTGCCGGTGTCTTTAATATAATAATGACACCCCGAAACAGATCGCAAAACGCAATGCAATTGCCAGAAATCGCATCACATGGGTGAGAATTTAAAAACGAGTCTTGCACCTTTTTGGTGCGGATGTGATGTGATTTGAGCCAGACAAGGTGTATGGCTCAAATCGCACCGCACAGACATTTGCCTGTAATGCACACAGGAATGCAGTGCGATTCCTGCGCCAATTACACACCGCATAGTGTGAACCGGCTGCGTGTTGGGAATGGCGGCAGTGTCGATGGAGAACCCCTCTGTGGTCAGTATGCAGAGGAGAAGCCACTCAGTACAGGACCTGGAAAATTGTTGGGATCACTGTAGTAGCGCCAACTACTACCGACTGTCAGCTTCCCCGGCTGCCTCTCAGGCATGAGATATACAGGCTTACAATGTGCCAAGCTGGACCAATGTAACTATACATTGGTCCAGCTTGGCACATTGGTCCAGCTTGGCACGTTGGTCCAGCTTGGCACGTTGGTCCAGCTTGGCACGTTGGTCCAGCTTGGCACGTTGGTCCAGCTTGGCACATTGGTCCAGCTTGGCACATTGGTCCAGCTTGGCACATTGGTCCAGCTTGGCACGTTGGTCCAGCTTGGCACATTGGTCCAGCTTGGCACATTGGTCCAGCTTGGCACGTTGGACCAGCTTGGCATGTTGGGTCCAGCTTAGCCCCTAAATATGACCTGAAGGTCAGGTTTAGGGGCTTTTCTGGATACTGGAGGTGTTAGCAGATGTCTCAGCTTTTATTTTCATATAATCGGCAGGAAGGACAGGTTCACTTTCCATGTACTACATCAATAGATCCCTAATAATAATAATTAAAATACAGAAAGCAGAAAGTAAAAGATAAGATAAAAGAAGGGGAAGGGTGGGGGAGGGGAAAGGCAGATCCAGACTCACCATTTTATAAAGTGAACCCTCTTATTCCCCTGCAACACGATAAAGCCAAAAGGAGTAAAGGCCAAAAATGCAGAATTCCCAGAGACATCCTGAAAGACAGTGACACAGGACATAGGAAGGGAAGAGAGAGCTAGGAGAGACGGGAGGCACAGAGAGAATTATGGGTAAATACCATGGAGGAAAATGGGGGAGTACCTTACAAGGATGGGGGTCCACTCCGTACGTCTCCAGGGTCTGAGCTTTCCTCAGAAAACACAGCTCTGCCGCGGCGGGGGACAAGCCACTAAAAAAAAAAAAAAAGGAGAAAAGGGCCGAAGGATAAACTACTGCATGGAAAATGGCTTTGTATTCACATTGCCCTTCAGATTCTGTCCTTCAATATGACGCCTAGTCAATCAATCAATCAATTATCAATTTGGAAAACGTCTCTTTGGTTGCTATAGCCAATAAAAACATTTCCCTGAGGAACACATTTTATATGTCAAGCCCCAAAATCAGTTATAATGGCATTTCATCCAGTTGAGGACACTGGATGTGCTACACAGGCCCCAAAACATAATCGAAGCACACAGGGCGCATGTAGAGTACTTCTCTGTAAATATAGCAGCTCTAGAAACTGTTGTATTTTCACAAAAAAGGAAAAAGTCTGACACAAAGTTTATCAATACTGCTCAGGGGGGAGATCAGGAGATACAAAGTAATATTATTTATAAACATTGTTCAGAAGGGAGATAGAGAGATACAAAGTAACAGTGTTTATAAACATTGTTCAGACGGAGATAGAGAGATACAAAGTAATATTGTTCAGACGGAGATAGAGGGATACAAAGTAACATTGTTTATAAACACTGTTCAGACGGGAGATAGAGAGATACAAAGTAACATTGTTTATAAACATCAATCAGAAGGGAGATAGAGATACAAAGTAACATTGTTTATAAACATTGATCAGTCAGGAGATAGAGAGATACAAAGTAACATTGTTTATAAACATCGATCAGACGGGAGATGGAGATACAAAGTAACATTGTTTATAAACATCGATCAGACGGGAGATAGAGATACAAAGTAACATTGTTTATAAACATCGATCAGACGGGAGATGGAGATACAAAGTAACATTGTTTATAAACATCGATCAGACGGGAGATAGAGATACAAAGTAACATTGTTTATAAACATTGATCAGATGGGAGATAGAGAGATACAAAGTAGCATTGTTTATAAACATCGATCAGTTGGGAGATAGAGAGATACAAAGTAACATTGTTTATAAACATCGATCAGTCGAGAGATAGAGAGATACAAAGTAACATTGTTTATAAACATTGATCAGTCGGGAGACAGAGAGATACAAAGTAACATTGTTACTTTTGTACCTACTCTGTTTCATTCATCTGAAGATCAAAGGGATGAGTTTCAGTCTGTATTTGATGCCAGTTAATGCAACCTGACAAGTAGAAAAATGTTTTCAAAGAAAATCCGTCTCACTCCTACTATTCCTGTACTTGTCACAAAGTAGCTGAATTACTGGGGTTTAGCTTGAATCGAGACCTGTTCTTGGCAGTACCTCTCCTTTGCCACAAGATGTCCTCAGTCTTGCATGTTTAATGACACCCAGAATCACTTAAAGTGTTCCTGAACCCCCAACAGTACAATCAGTCTGTAGATGCAGGAAAGCATGATTGTTATACTCACTGGGGAACCTAAGGGGTAATCCTCCGCATTGTTTAACAAGGCTGTTTGATCCTGTCTTCTCTGATCCTCCCCTTCTTCCAGCACCCTCCTCTCTTCTGATAAGACACATAGTGTGGAGACACTCTGTACATGCTCAATTTGGTGTGGATTGCTAGAGAGGGGTTTTTTTTTGGTTTTGGGAGAGCGCATGTGATTAGCACAGGGCCAATCAGCACTCTCCAGACAGAGGTCTGGGGTTCTGCAGCCTCCTAGAGCAGAATGAAGGCTCCTCCTACAATCTTTAACCAGTGCTCTGCTGTACACTGATAGAAGTCACAAGACTGCTATATAGTGCTGATGAGAAAAGGGATTTAGCAGTTTATATTTACTACAATAATTGTATTTTCATGTTCTATTTACTCTGGGAGGGCGGATATAGTGAATGTGGGGTCCGGGGAGAGCGGATATAGTGAATGTGGGGTCCGGGGAGAGCAGATATAGTGAATGTGGGGTCCGGGGAGAGCGGATATAGTGAATGCAGGGTCCGATACCGGATATACCGGGATATAGTGAATGCGGGGTCCGGGGAGAGCGGATATAGTGAATGCGGGGTCCGGGGAGACCGGATATAGTGAATGCGGGGCCTGGGGAGACCATATATACTCAATGCGCGGGTCCGGGGAGAGCAGATATAGTGAATGCGGGGGAGAACCATATATCCAGGGATAGGGGCAGGGGCGGACTGACCATTTGGGAACTCGGTCACTGCCCTAGGGCCCAGGGTCAGTTGGGGGCCCCATGAGATGCCCTTGGTACCTTTCATAGGCTTTTTTGGGTGTGGTTTGAGTGTGGGCGAGGACATAGGGGCCCCATGATCCCCTATTGCCCGGGGAACCCATGCGTTATCAGTCTGCCCCTGGAAAGGGGATATAGTGAATGCAGGGACCGGTGTTTAGTAACACTTTAACATGGAAGACTGAGCACATACAGTGAGTGCAGGGTGTCACAGGTGTCATGACATCAGCACTGCTTTCTGCATCAGTGGGGGCCACCCTGCCTGAGTAACAGGAAAAGAAGAATAGGACCCTAAGCTAATATGTAACTGGCATAAAAACTTCAGAAAAGAATGGAAAAGCATAAAATATTGGGGGTCCCTGGGAAGGGATTTGGGGGGAGGAGCACAGATCCAGGGGCTGGCCATTGATAGGTCAGTTACATAGAGCGCGTTCCTCACCTGAGCTCGCTCCTGTGGATCTCAGCAATCCGTCGCTCCAGCTTCTCAGAGTGTTTCGGGAGGAACTGGAACTTGGAACTGTACCCTTCGGGGTGTTTCCCGGGATCATAGTCTCCGATCTCTGCTGCAGGAAAGACACCGAGATTAGAAGTACAGCTAAGCAGTTCAATTTCCTGCAGGTAAGGTGGCACCAGAGCAACACATGAGGAGTCAGCGCACACAGGGGCCACTCTGAGGCTGAGCCGGAAAGGGCCACATGCAAAACTTTTCCTGCTCCTCCTTGTCAGTTTAGCAGTAGATGGAACTTCTGCAGCACATTATGGGGGGGGGGGGGGTTTACTAAAAGTGCATGGCGGCCAATCATCTTCTACCTTCAGCTTGTTCAATTAGGCTTTGGCAATAAAACCTGGAAGCTGATTGGCTCCCATGCAGAGCTGCACCAGATTTTGTACCCTCCAGCTTTAGTAAATCTCCCCCATTCGTCCGTTTTTTTAAATAAAATATACAAAATAATTATTATAGTGAACTCCAGAACATATATTAACCCCTTTATACCGGCCGGCTCTGACACTTTCACCACCTCAAGTCCGGACACTTTTACCCCCCTTCCAGTCCGGACACTTTTACCCCTCTTCCAGTCCGGACGCTTTCACACCCTTCCAGTCTGGACACTTTTACCCCCCTTCCAGTCCGGACACTTTCCCCCCCTTCCAGTCCGGACACTTTACCCCCCTTCCAGTCCGGACACTTTCCCCCCCTTCCAGTCCAGACACTTTTACCCCCCTTCCAGTCCGGACACTTTTCCCCCCTTCCAGTCCAGACACTCCCCCCCCCCTTTCCAGTCCCGGACACTTTTACCCCCCTTCCAGTCCGGACACTTTCCCCCCCCTTCCAGTCCGGACACTTTCCACCCCCTTTCCAGTCCGGACACTTCCCCCCCTTCCTGTCTGGACACTTTTACCCCCCTTCCAGTCCGGACACTTTCACCCCCTTCCTGTCTGGACACTTTTACCCCCCTTCCAGTCCGGACATTTTTTCCCCCTTCCAGTCCGGACACTTTTTACCCCCCTTCCAGTCCGGACACTTTTACCCCCCTTCCAGTCCGGACACTTTCACCCCCTTCCAGTCCGGACACTTTCACCCCCTTCCAGTCCGGACACTTTCACCCCCCCTTCCAGTCCGGACACTTTCACCCCCTTCCAGTCCGGACAATTTCACCCCCTTCCAGTCCAGACACTTTTACCCCCCTTCCAGTCCGGACACTTTCACCCCTCTTCCAGTCCGGACACTTTCCCCCCCTTCCAGTCCGGACACTTTCCCCCTCTTCCAGTCCAGAAACTTTTACCCCCCTTCCAGTCCGGACACTTTCACCCCCTTCCTGTCCGGACACTTTTACCCCCCTTCCAGTCCGGAAACTTTCACCCCCTTCCAGTCCGGACACTTTCCCCCCCTTCCAGTCCGGACACTTTCACCCCCTTCCAGTCCGGACACTTTCCCCTCTTTCCAGTCCAGAAACTTTTACCCCCCTTCCAGTCCGGACACTTTCACCCCCTTCCTGTCCGGACACTTTTACCCCCCTTCTAGTCCGGACACTTTCACCCCCTTCCTGTCCGGACACTTTTACCCCCCTTCTAGTCCCAGACCAACCCCCCTTCCAGTCCGGACACTTTCCCCCCAGTCCGGGACACTTTCCCCCCTTCCAGTCCGGACACTTTTACCCCCTTCCAGTCCGGACACTTTCACCCCTTCCAGTCCGGACACTTTCCCCCCCTTCCAGTCCGGACACTTTCACCCCCTTCTAGTCCGGACACTTTCCCCCTTTCCAGTCCAGACACTTTCACCCCCCTTCCAGTCCGGACACTTTCCACACCCCTTCCAGTCCGGACACTTTCTCACCCCCTTCCTGTCCGGACACTTTTACCCCCCCCCCTAGTCCAGTCACCCCCTTCCTTTTTCACCCCCCTTCCAGTCCGGACACTTTCCCCCCCTTCCAGTCCGGACACTTTCCCCCCTTCCCTTCCAGTCCGGACACTTTCCCCCCCTTCCAGTCCAGACACTTTCCCCCCTTCCAGTCCGGACACTTTCCCCCCTTCCAGTCCAGAAATTTCAGCTTTCAGCGCTATCACACTTTGAATGACAATTGTGCGGTCATGCGACACTGTACCCATATGATATACTGTATGTTATAACTTTTTTTTCAGATAAAGCTTTTTTTTGGTGGCATTTAATCATTCTTTGGTGTGTTTTTTTTTTTTACTGCTTGCTATGTAAACATTAAAAGACAGAACATTTTGAAAAAGAAAAAGTTTTCCTGGTTTTTGTTATAACATTTTGCAAATAAATAATTGTTCTTTATAAATTTTAGACAAGATGTATTCTGCTACATTTCTTTGGTGAAAATAACACAAATCAGTGTTTATTATTTAGTCTGCAGGAAAGTTATCGAGTTCACAAACTATGGGATATATATATATCTGAAAGTCAATCAATCCTGATGTACTGACCGATGATCTTATTTGTTGAGGCCCTAAAATGTAAGGACAGTACAGATATCCCCCAAATGTCAGAACGGTACAGATATCCCCCAAATGTCAGAACAGTACAGATACCCCCCAAATGTCAGGACAGTACAGATACCCCCCCAAATGTCAGAACAGTGCAGATATCCCCCCAAATGTCAGAACAGTACAGATATCCCCCCAAATGTCAGGACAGTACAGATATCCCCCCAAATGTCAGAACAGTACAGATATCCCCCAAATGTCAGGGCAGAACAGATACCCCCCAAATGTCAGAACAGTACAGATATCCCCCAAAATGTCAGGACAGTACAGATACCCCCCAAATGTCAGAACAGTACAGATATCCCCCCAAATGTCAGGGCAGTACAGATACCCCCCAAATGTCAGGACAGTACAGATATCCCCAAATGTCAGAACAGTACAGATATCCCCCAAATGTCAGAACAGTACAGATACCCCCCAAATGTCAAGACAGTACAGATATCCCCCAAATGTCAGAAAAGTACAGATATCCCCCAAATGTCAGGACAGTACAGATATGCCCCAAATGTCAGAACGGTACAGATATCCCCCAAATGTCAGGACGGTACAGATATCCCCCAAATGTCAGGACAGTACAGATATCCCCCAAATGTCAGAACAGTACAGATATCCCCCAAATGTCAGGACAGTACAGATATCCCCCAAATGTCAAAAACAGTACAGATATCCCCCAAATGTCAGGGCGGTACAGATATCCCCCAAATGTCAGGACAGGTACAGATATCCCCCAAATGTCAGGACAGTACAGATATCCCCCAAATGTCAAATGTCAGGACGGTACAGATATCCCCCAAATGTCAGGACAGTACAGATATGCCCCAAATGTCAGAACGGTACAGATATCCCCCAAATGTCAGGACAGTACAGATATCCCCCAAATGTCAGAACAGTACAGATATCCCCCAAATGTCAGAACGGTACAGATATCCCCCAAATGTCAGGACAGTACAGATATGCCCCAAATGTCAGGACAGTACAGATATGCCCCAAATGTCAGGACAGTACAGATATCCCCCAAATGTCAGGACAGTACAGATATGCCCCAAACGTCAGGACGGTACAGATATCCCCCAAATGTCAGGACAGTACAGATATCCCCCAAATGTCAGAACAGTACAGATATCCCCCAAATGTTAGAACAGTACAAATCCCCCCAAATGTTAGGACAGTACAGATCCCCCCAGTACTTAGAACTAGACCCCAAAACACATTCTGCTAGACTCTTTCACAGAATAACCGCAGAGAGGGGCCCAAAATCCAAGGAGCACCTTCAGGCTATCTAAGGGCATCAATTACACATCTAAAAATGATCAGGGACACTAACTGGTGTGGCGGTGATTAGGGACAATATGACTGGTGCGGCGGTGTTTAGGGACATTGTGACTGCTGCGGTGGTGATTAGGGACAGTATGCAAAAAAAAAAAAATTACATACATTTTAAAAATTAATTAATTTTTTGTAAATATCTTTTTAAAGATTTAAAAAAAAAAAAAGATTTTACTTTTTTTTTTACATACTGTCACCAGAGCAGTGCAGGGTTACCATAGTGACACTGTACTACTCTGGGCAGTTGATCAGGATTTTTTTCTTTTACACTGTGATTGCTTATTACTGTGATGATCACTGTAATAAGCAATCGCTAAGCTGAGCTGCAGTTCGGTGACTAAACTATGTATTTGATCCCCAAGGCAAACATGACTTTGTAGTTGCCAACAAGGGTGTCTCCACCAAGTACTAAGATAAGACGTCTCTTCTAGTTGGCCCCCAGGTTTGCAGACATCTCGGGAGGGATTTTGGTCCACTCTTCTTTACAGATCTTCTCTAAATCTTTAAGGTTTCTTGGCTGTTGCTTGGCAACTCAACGTTTTTGCTCCCTCCAAAAATTTTCTATAGGATAAAGGTCTGGAGACTGGCTAGGCCACTCCGTGGCCTTAATGTTCTTCTTCTTGAGCCGCTCCTTTGTTGCCTTGGCGGTATGTTTTGGGTCATTGTCATGCTGGAACACCCATCCTCGACCCATCTTCTATGTTCTGGTTGAGGGAAGAAGGTTCTCACCCAAGATTTTACAATACATGGCCCCGTCCATTGGCCCCTCAATGCGACGGGGCCAATAACAGAGAAACAGCCCCAAAGCATAATGTCTACACCTCCGTGCTGGACTGTAGGGATGGTGTTCTTGGGGTAATAGTCAGCAATTTTCTTCTTCCAAACACGGCGAGTCGAGTTGATGCCACAGAGCTCAATTTTGGTCTCAGACCACAGCACCTTCTCCCAATCCTTCTCTGCATCATTTAGATGTTCGTGGGCAAACTTCAAAACGGCCTGTACATGTGCCTTCCTGAGGAGGGGGACCTTGCAGGCATTAATCCATGGCGGTGTATTGTGTTACCAATGGTTGGTTTGGTGACCGTGGTCCCAACTGCCTTGAGATCATTCATAAGCTCCTCCCATGTAGCTCTGGGTTGATCCCTAACTTTTCTCATCCTTACCCCACGAGGCGAAATCTTGCATGGAGCTTCAGACCGAGGGCGATTGATGGTTATTTTGTATTTCTTCCATTTGTGAATATTCGCTCCAACAGTTGTCTCCTTCCCACCAAGCTTCTCGCTGATGGTCTTGTAGCCCATTCCAGCCTTGTGCAGGTCTACAATCTTGACGTCCTTTGACAGCTCTTTTGGTCTTGCCCATGATGGTGAGGAAGAATGAGATTCTGTGGACAGGTGTCCTTTATACACATAACGAGTTCTCGTTGGGAGAACCTTCTTACATTGACGGGACTAATCTGTGTCCCACATGAGCACAGAGCCAGTCTGTGGGAGCCAGAATTATTGCTGGTTGGTAGGGGATCAAATACTTACTTTACTCATTGAACTGCAACTCCATTTATAACATTTGTATTGTGTGTCATGTGATATTCTGTCTCCATCATTTAAATTATTGGTCACTCCACACAACACGTCTCCGTTGCTCTAGAGTCCAGTGGCGGCGTGCTTTACACCACGGCATCCGACGCTTTGCATTTCACTTGGTGATGGAAGGCTTGGATGCAGCTGCTCGGCCATGGAAACCCATTCTATGAAGCTCTCTACGCACTGTTGTTGGGCTCATCTGAAGGCCACACCAAGTTTGGAGGTCTTTAGCTATTGACTCTGCAGACAGTTGGCGACTTCTGCGCACTGTGTGCTTCAGCATGCGCTGACCCCGCCCTGTCATGTGACATGGCCTACCACTTGGTGGCTGAGTGGCTGTTGTTCCCGGTTGCTTCCACTTTGTTATAATCCCACTAACAGTTGAGCGTGGAATATTTAGTAGCCAGGAAATGTCATGGATGGACTTATTGCCCAGGTGGCCACCTATCACGGGACCACGCTTGGAGTCACTGAGCTCCTGAGAGCGACCCATTCTTTTGTTTGTAGAAGCCGTCTGCATGCCTAGGGGCTGGATTGTATACACCTGTGTCCATGGAGGGGATTGGAGCACCTGAATCACATGATATGAAGGGGATTGGAACACCTGAATCACATGATATGGAGGGGATTGGAACACCTGAATCACATGATTTGGAGGGCGGGGACAATACTTTTGGCAATATTGTGTAAACGGCCAATGAATGAAGTTATGTAACCTTTATGTTGCACTACCCCCAAAGGAGCCGCAAGGACGTAACTGGTTCTTTCCCACAAGTTAGTGCAGAGGCAGCCTGGCGCTCAGAATTTTACTCTCTCTCTGGCCCAAAAAATAGTCTATGCCAGTGGTCTCCAAACCTCAACTCGTAGGATGGATATGGCCCTTTGCTTGCCTTTATTTGGCCCTTGCAGCACCATTTCATCCACAGGCACCATGACGGGGCATCATTGCTCCCACAGACACATTGGAACACCTGAATCACATGATTGGGAGGGCGGGGCCAATACTTCTGGCAATATGTATGCAGTTCAATTGTCCATCTAGCTGTCTGCGTTGAGTTCAGCTTCAATCTGCCCCGGGTCACAACTCACCAACAAACTGTATGTGGTGTATTTAAAAAAAAAAAATTGCAAAAACAATTGCATAGCAATTCCCCAGTGAATGTATATTCCTTCTGTGCAAATCGAGCAAAAAAAAAGACTTTTTTTAGGCTATTTCCTGAGCTGGAATGTTTTTCATTGATTTTTTTTTTTCAATTGAAAATACCGCATTTGGCCATTAGATGGCGCTAAGCATCCAATTCATTTGATAGGACACTTAGCCCCATCTAGTGTCCAAATGCATTATTTTTTTTCCTTTTAAAATCCATAAAAAAACATTCGTCCAGGACAGGAAATGGACTGATAACATTTGCTGTTTTTTTTTTTGTCCCGTTTACACATGCATTTTCACTGGGCGATTGCGATGTGTATTTTGTATTACTTGCCCGTAAAAATCAATTAGCCCCTCCTCTTTTTTTATTTCAGGGGCAGAAATGGAGGTGAAAGGGAGAAAGCTGTTAGGTTGATACAAAACAATAGAATTTTTTTTTTTTTTCCTGTTTGGACTCGTGAGACAAACGTGTGGATTGCAGAGGAAATAAGAGGATGCCAGGAAATGTGTATGGAGGTAAAAGACTGAGCCGCATTGGCCAATCATACACAAGGAGCCGGCGGCAGTCACCGCCACATACCTTGTAATATGTACGCTGCCAGCAAAGCTGCATCAGATGTCTTACACAGCAACCGTCCGTGGTACAAATCTCTCTTCACTTGCAGGAAAACGAGATACCTGTGTGGGAGACAGACATTCCAGTTATTGTCCAATCAGCAGGCAGGGAGGTGACACCAATATACCTCCCTGTCCAATCAGCAGGCAGGGAGGTGACACCAATATACCTCCCTGTCCAATCAGCAGGCAGGGAGGTGACACCAATATACCTCCCTGTCCAATCAGCAGGCAGGGAGGTGACACCAATATACCTCCCTGTCCAATCAGCAGGCAGGGAGGTGACACCAATTAATCTCCCTGTCTAATCAGCAGGCAGGGAGTTGACACCAATATACTTCCCTGTCCAATCAGCAGGCAGGGAGGTGACACCAATATAATTCGCTGTCCAATCAGCAGGCAGGGAGGTGACACCAATATTTTTTTTTTTCCATTTTTGATATTTTTTTTTTTAAACTCTGGTTTGCATATTATGTATTATTGATATTGTTTCTTTTTTTTTTTTCCAATGTCCGGTGTGGCAGTTTATATTAATGGTGTAAATGTATATAATTTTTTTTTGCATAAAATCTAATATATATAAAAAAAAGTATTTTGCTGCTTGTTAGTACCAGGTTGTGTTCCACAGCATCACCCCACCAGGAGGTAAGCAAGCCGGGGTCCAGTTTTAAAACAGGTAGGGATCAAGCAGAAGCATAGTCAGTAAACAAGCCAAAGGTCAGTAGTAACAAGTGGTAACAGGTGGGGGTCAAGCAGTAGCGTAGTCGAGGAACAAGCCAAAGGTTGGTAGCACCTGGTTGCAGGTTGAGATCAAGCAGAAGCATAGTCGAGGAACAAGCCAAAGGTTGGTAACAAGTGGTTGCAATTGGGATCAAGCAAAGCATAGTCGAGGAACAAGCCAAAGGTCGGTAACAAGTGGTTGCAGGTTGGGATCAAGCAGAAGCATAGTCGAGGAACAAGCCAAAGGTCGGTAACAAGTGGTTGCAGGTTGGGATCAAGCAGAAGCATAGTCAAGGAACAAGCCAAAGGTCGGTAAGCAAGTGGTTGCAGGTTGGGGTCAAGCAGTAGCGTAGTCAGGAACAAGCCAAAGGTCGAAAACAAGTGGTAACAGGTTGGGGTCAAGCAGTAGCGTAGTCGAGGAACAAGCCAAAGGTTGGTAGCACCTGGTTGCAGGTTGAGATCAAGCAGAAGCATAGTCAAGGAACAAGCCAAAGGTCGGTAGCAAGTGGTTGCAGGTTGGGGTCAAGCAGTAGCGTAGTCAAGGAACAAGCCAAAGGTCGAAAACAAGTGGTAACAGGTTGGGGTCAAGCAGTAGCGTAGTCGAGGAACAAGCCAAAGGTTGGTAGCACCTGGTTACAGGTTGAGATCAAGCAGAAGCATAGTCGAGGAACAAGCCAAAGGTCGGTAACAAGTGGTTGCAGGTTGGGATCAAGCAGAAGCGTAGTCGAGGAACAAGCCAAAGGTCGGTAACAAGTGGTTGCAGGTTGGGATCAAGCAGAAGCATAGTCGAGGAACAAGCCAAAGGTCGGTAACAAGTGGTTGCAGGTTGGGATCAAGCAGAAGCATAGTCGAGGAACAAGCCAAAGGTCGGTAACAAGTGGTTGCAGGTTGGGATCAAGCAGAAGCATAGTCAAGGAACAAGCCAAAGGTCGGTAACAAGTGGTTGCAGGTTGGGATCAAGCAGAAGCATAGTCAAGGAACAAGCCAAAGGTCGGTAGCAAGTGGTTGCAGGTTGGGGTCAAGCAGAAGCATAGTCAAGGAACAAGCCAAAGGTCGGTAGCAAGTGGTTGCAGGTTGGGGTCAAGCAGAAGCATAGTCAAGGAACAAGCCAAAGGTCGAAAACAAGTGGTTACAGGTTGGGGTCAAGCAGTAGCGTAGTCAAGGAACAAGCCAAAGGTCGAAAACAAGTGGTAACAGGTTGGGGTCAAGCAGTAGCATAGTCAAGGAACAAGCCAAAGGTCGAAAACAAGTGGTAACAGGTTGGGGTCAAGCAGAAGCATAGTCGAGGAACAAGCCAAAGGTCAGTAACAAGTAGTAACAGGTGGGGGTCAAGCAGAAGAATAGTCGTCGAGCAAGCCAAAGGTCGGTGGTTGCAGGTTGGGGTCAAGCAGTAGCATAGTCAAGGAACAAGCCAAAGGTCGAAAACAAGTGGTAACAGATTGGGGTCAAGCAGAAGCATAGTCGAGGAACAAGCCAAAGGTCAGTAACAAGTGGTAACAGGTGGGGGTCAAGCAGAAGAATAGTCGTCGAGCAAGCCAAAGGTCGGTAGCAAGTGGTTGCAGGTTGGGGTCAAGCAGTAGCGTAGTCAAGGAACAAGCCAAAGGTCGAAAACAAGTGATAACAGGTTGGGGGTCAAGCAGAAGCGTAGTCGAGGAACAAGCCAAAGGTCGAAAACAAGTGGTAGAAGGTTGGGGTCAAGCAGAAGCAAAGTCAAGGAACAAGCCAAAGGTCAGTAACAAGTGGTTGCAGGTTGGGGTCAAGCAGAAGCGTAGTTGAGGAACAAGCCAAAGGTCAGTAGCAAGTGGTAACAGGTTGGGGTCAAGCAGAAGAATAGTTGGGGAACAAGCCAAAGGTCAGTAACAAGTAGTAGGGAAGACACGGATGGCGGCAGGCGTGACAAGAGCGAGAGATTGGCTGGCGAGAGGACAATAATTTGGCACACCTAAAATACAAAGGCGTGGCTAAAATAGGAAATTCATGGGAGGAGCAAAGTGTTCAAAGGTTCAAGAATTCAAAGTTTCAAGGCAAGATCATTGGAAGAATCATCCGGGGAGCTGTCCAGCAACCCAGGCGGCTCAGCAAAAAGCGACACTACCAGACACAGCAGAGGTCGCAGGTTCAGAACTGGATCCTGCCATTATGAAAAAGGAGAGGTCGATGGGGGCCCCCAATAACCTTTTTGCTATGGGCCCCATAAACGATTGCCATCCCCCTGATTTTCTGGAGTTCAATTTTTTTTTTAATTTGGCGTTCAACTTTAATTGTTGCGGGTCGTAGCACACAATAGGGTGTCGGGTGTGAAGCGATGATTATGTGAACGACTTCTGTACTGATGATCTGAGAAATGAATACAAACATTTACATCATCCCCGGGGAAAGGAAGGTTTGTAGACACGGATCCGCACACTTGGCGTTCGATCTCTCTGGTCGGAGATGACATCACCCGGCGGTATGTTAGTGACAATCCAAGGATGGAATAAAACACCATCGTAATGAGGAACGGATCTGTCAGTCAGTGAGGTACAAGACGGGAGAGACTCGGGGGAAGTCCTGGCCGACACTCAAGCCGCAAGTCTTCTATGTAGGGAAGGAAATCTCTGACTGCAGGAGATCCTTGTAAAGTGTCTGCGATATCCACGTCTGCTGGAGGCTGACATTCACTGTCTGTTCTCCAAAGTGAATCATTCGCTGGAATTAGATTGCCGTCCTGCCCTCCGGGCATCTTTTATAGCGTCTCCCCGCTGTGGGTAGTCACACTTGGCATCGCTGGGCATCAGACTCGGGATCGCTCGGCATCGCTGGGCATCAGACTCGGGATCGCTCGGCATCGCTCAGCATCGCTGGGCATCAGACTCGGGATCACTCGACATCAGACTCAGCATAGCTGGGTAGTCAGACTTGGCATCACTTGGCATCAGACTCGGCATCACTGGGTAGTCAGACTCGGCATCAGACTCGGCATAACTGACATACTGTCACCCTAGCAGTACAGTGCTACCATGGTGACACTGTACTACTTGTGGGGGGTGATGAAGATTTTTTTTTTTACACTGATTGCTCATATACCCATAAAGGCTGTAAAGGCAATCATTTCTCCTCCTCTCTGGCTGCATTCTTGCAGCCATTGAGAAATACTGTGTGAGCTGTGATTGGTCACAGCTTGTCACATGGTACAAGGCTGTTGTGAATGGCCCTGTACCATGTGATCTCTGTGATCATTCACAGATTTCACACGTAGTAAGCAATGATGTCAGAAGTGACATGTTGCTTACTGCTCTTCATGTGATCACTGATTGGCCAATCTGTGCCTGGCAGTATCTCCTCTTGCTGACTCACCGGAGACGCCGGACCGCTGCCTGGACAATTCCTTGGACAATCTTGTCTTTTAGCTCGTTTCTGGCGAACTCTGAACTCTTTGTTCCTCCCATGAACTTCCTATTTAAGCCACGCCTTTTGGACTTCTTGTTTGCCAGACCATAGTGCTGTCTCCAGCCAATATCTCACTCTTGTCACTACTGCTGCCATCTGTTTCTTTGCTACCGCTCACTACCGGCCTTTGGCCTGTTCCTCAACTATTCTTCTGCTTGACCCCAACCTGCAACCACTTGTTTCCAACCTTTGGCTTGTTCCTCAACTGTCCTTCTGCTGGACCCCAACCTGCAACCACTTGCTACCGGCCTTTGGCCTGTTCCTCAACTATTCTTCTGCTTCACCCCAACCTGCAACCACTTGTTTCCAACCTTTGGCTTGTTCCTCAACTGTCCTTCTGCTGGACCCCAACCTGCAACCACTTGCTACCGGCCTTTGGCCTGTTCCTCAACTATTCTTCTGATTGACCCCAACCTGCAACCACTTGCTACCGACTTTTGGTTTGTTTACCGACTACGCTCCCACTTGAGCCCATCCTGCTATATATGCTACTGGACTGCTCACCTCCTGGTGGGACGATCCTGAAGACCACAACCTGGTACTAACACGCAGCAGAACCCATCTCTGCCATCAGAAGCTCTGGTGAGCACCATTTAGTGCAAATAGAGAACAAAAACAAAAAGCGCACCAACCTTGCGCATTACCTCAGTAAAAAGGTGACAATTTATTGAAATAAGAAGTATGCTCACAAACGTGACAGTATATGAGGCATATAGGATCCAAGATAGGAACACTGGAGTGTGAGACACATGCAAATTCCACCGAGAGGGGAGACTCTCAGAGTGAAGCTGACGAGTTTCAAAGGGAGATCCCTTCTTCTTCAGAGCTCAGAAGAAGAAGTGATCTCCCTTCGAAACACGTCAGATTCACTCTGAGAGTCTCCCCTCTCGGTGGAGTCTCCTATCTTGGATTTT